TATGACAAGACCTATGAATACATGAACCAAAAATTTCAGATTCAAACTGAAAGCATCAACTATGCAGATGGCAAGTGAAGACAGCACTTATTTCATAATGTTGAACTCTGAGCTCAATGGAATCAGCTTTTTAGCTATTTTGGGAGATAAATTCATCATAACTATGGAAGAAATTAAGAGATGTTAATTCATAAAAACCATGCTTTAAATTCATCTGGTTGCCTCAATATACATCTGAATATCTGAATATCAATGAAACTCAAAGAAGAAGGGCTAGAACTGAAAAGTATACTGTGCTTTCCCAGAAGACACAGAACCCCTGGAGTTAGGAGACATAAATATGAATCTCAGAACACGTCTAAAAATTCTGTGTGACCAAATTCTGAATATTTGGTTGGGTTCATCCAGCTCTGTGAAAATACAATTTTATTAATAAACTAGTGAAATCAAAGACTTATTTTTTAAATGATTAATTTGTTTTATCATAAACCTCATCACTATATAGTTCTATAATATTCCAGCATTAGAATTTTACTAATTTTCAACTATTAAGATTGTATTTTCAAGTATTTATAGACGATTCCATATGTTATTAAACAATGGAAATTATTTAAATATATACTGATTAAGCTTCTTGGTAGTAACCTCTAACAATATATGAATTCAACTAATCTAACTCAACTATCTAATTTATACATACATTAGAATATTCTTCACATATAAATCTTACAAGCAACACAATAGTGATAAATTATGTTCATTTAAGAATATATGGGTTGAACTGGATTATAATATAAACTACCAAAAATATAAATTTCAAGGACATTTAGAATAGTTTAGAAATGGCAGAAAAAGAAGGCTGGGTACACAGGAATTCCTTTACTAAACTTCAAGGACTCCATTATAACTACAACACAAAATCAAAGAGAATAAAAAAAAAAAAAAGTTCTTGCAGGAAGCACACACACATATACACACTCACGATTAAAAAAAACAACAACACAAAGTTTGGTTACCCCAAAGTCAAACCAACTCTAACCAACATAAGCTTAGGTTTTCTTAGATGGTAAGATCCTACATAGACCTACATAGATGGCAGGATGGAGAAGAGCTTAAGGAGAAAAAAAAAATCAGTTGTCTAGGTCTTTGTGAGAAAATTCAGCCCTTGTATATATATTCAATTTAGTTTTAAGTGTAAAGACTTAAAAAGCACAGTCTTTTCCTCAAATCTAATAAACAGATCATCGTCAAACACCACGCCTCTCGTAGCCAAAGGGTAAGACTTTACAAAGCTCACTTCAAAATCTATGATCTTGTGGGAAAGCCCCTCTCTACTTCCGGGACACGCTGTTCCCTTGCACTAGCTGCCCTACGGTAGCAGAACAGGAAATGCAGGTATGTCATCGAGACCGCCTCTAGTCAACAGTAAAGGCAACCACAGTTCTTTGACCTCACTCCTTATAAAACCAAAGCAAAAAACACAGCAAAACACGAGATGGGAATGAGGATGAGATGGGAATGGGGAAAGAGACGGCACGAGGAGTTCCTGCTATTTTTTCAGACCTCACTGAGAGTTGTGAACTTTGATGACTTCTAGACAGAACTTTATCTAAAGACTTTATCTAAAGACCATCACCACAACCATCATGTCTCATCCAGGCCATTCAGCAGCCTCCTAACTACTCTCTCCTGTTTCACTCTAATCCCTCTACAATCCTTTCCTGCTCCTACTCAGTTCACCAACTTCATGTCAAGGCACCATCCCCCTTACTCACTACATTCTGGCCACTGCACACAAGTGGCCTTTCAGTCCCTCAGGCCAGCCAGACTTATTTTGCTCTTCTCCATACCTGGAATACTATTCACAGAACCTTTCATAGTTCCTAAAATGCTACTACTCAGAAGAGCTTCTCCCTAATCCCATTATTATCAGTCATAGCACTTTATTTAAAGGGCTCCTTCCCAGCAATTTGCTCAGACAGAATTTGTCTCTTAACTATAAGCTCTGTGAGGACAGAGCAACTATGTTTGTTTTATTCATAACTATGTACCTACTGTCTCACATAATACCTAACATAAAATTTAATAAATGCTTGTCGGGATCCCTGGGTGGCTCAGCGGTTTAGCTCCTGCCTTCAGCCCAGGGTGTGATCCTGGAGTTCCAGGATTGATTCCCGCATCGGGCTTCCTGCGTGGAGCCTGCTTCTCCCTCTGCCTGTGTCTCTGCCTCTCTCTGTCTCTCATGAATAAATAAATAAAATCTCTAAAAATAAAATAAATAAATAATAAATGCTTGTCAAATTACTTATCAAAAAACCTCAATAAAAAAATTCTTTGAGGAAACAAATATCTTAAAATTCAAGTATTAAAATTCAAGCATCTAAAATCCAGTACTCTTAACCAACTTTTCTTATTTTTTTTAAAGATTTTATTTATTCATGGGAGACATGGGGTGGGGGGGGGCATAGGGAGAAGCAGGCTCCCTGCAGGGAGCCCTACGTGGGACTGGATCCAGGGTCCCCAGGATCAGGCCCTGGAGCGAAGGCAGCGCTAAACCGCTGAGCCACCCAGGCTGCCCGCAACTTTTCTTATTTCGTAGTTCTAATTATGTTGGTTGTCTCATTCCCAACCTACAATTCATCTATTAGATAGAAAGAAGGTAAACAGAAAGGAAAACCCACACATGTGAAATTTAAATGGAAGTGCCCTTTAGAGAAGATCTTCAAACCCGAAAATACCTGAATGACCCCTAAGAATATCACTGTATACCAACCTGATATAATACCTGCTTTTGATTAAATGTTTCAACTCAATCGGATAATTCTGACTTATGCTCAAGATCTTGTTTAAAAGCAGGAAAGCATATATTACCTTTTAGATGGATTTCCAAGAAAATGATAAAGATGAGCCACAAAATGTGCATGAAGGGATAAATACCAAAATATGTAATAAGTAACAATTTGCTAAATGTTTATTGTGAGTCCACCACATTAGGTAAATTATATTGGACTCCCATACCTAATTTTTGAGGTAGACATTATCCCTTTTGCAAATGAAAAAACTAAAGCACAGAAAGGATAATGGTTACATTTAGGTTACAGTTAGGAACTATCTGAGAATTAAAACTAACCTGCTGAACATCAAAGACCATACTCTTTGTGCCACATACCATCAATTGCTTCTAAATGTGTCTAATAAGATAAAAGAATCGCCTAAGCTCTTATTAAAAATAAAAATTCCTAGACTCTTCTTGAGATTTTGATTGGGGATGTTATTAGAGCAGAGAACCTAAAATGTGTATCTTTTAAAACGCTCTTAGTGATTTTGATAATCAGGCAAGTTTAAGAAATCTTGCATTGGGTTTAAGCTACACTACATGAACACTGAAAGTCTGGTTTAAGATCTGATTTTATAAATGGATTCTGAAACAAATTATGAAAAGTCACAAAAAATCTTACATAGAAGATACTAAAGATACTAAACATAGCTGTTGCTACGTGTTATATTGAAAACGTAATTTTATTGAAAATAAAATCATAAGTAGTTTTATAGATTAGAAAGCTAAACTAGACACAGACACTATGGAGATTTAAAAGATCCGGATGCCTGGGTGGCTCAGCAGTTAAGCATCTACCTTTGGCTCAGGGCATGATCCCAGGGTCCTAGGATCAAGTCCCACATCGGGCTTCCTGCATGGAGCCTGCTTCTCCCTCTACCTGTGTTTCTGCCTCTCTCTCTCTGTCTCCCATGAATAAATCAATAAAATCTTTAAAAAAAATTAAAAATCCCCTTCCAAGTTTACAGTTGGTCTAATAACCTGAGCCTTTAACCTATTAGAATATAAACTCAAGTTGGGAGTTCAAGAGCAGCTCTCAAAGTAAAAAATACTATTCTTTAAAGAAATATTATTATTCAGAGTAATATTATTTAGAATAATACTATTCGAGTAATTACCATCATAAATAATTTCATATAACTTATTTTTCACCATTTAGTATTCCACTTAGCTAGTCACATAAAATTTTAAGCAGTAGTCAATTTTATATCTGTTAAGAGGCATAAATCCAACATTGAACTGTTTGGACTGAAACACCATCTAAATTTCAAATTCAAATACAGTAAAATTTTGAAACTTCAGTTCGCTACCATATTCCTCATTTCTTCAAGAAAGTTTATCCACTGAGAAGTTTTAGTAGTTGATCCCATTAAAGTATTCAGCATTTTTTTCTTTATATTATCAAAGATATGTTCAATGCTATATTCTAAATCAAACTAATTTCCTTTCAAATGATAAGGAGTAAGAAAAAATTCTCTGGGGGAAAAAAATGTCTCAATGTTACAATTTTCCTATAATTATCATCAAATTTTGTTAAAACAAAAAGAGAGAAGCCATTTATCTTTTGAATATGATTTTATAAGAGTTCTACTGTAAAATATTGTTTGCCTTCAGTAGGAGGTTCAGGAAGGGAGGAAAACAATTACTCCTTTAGTAATTCTGACAAGATCCAAAAATGTATGCAATTATCACATTTACTTAGAGAGCGTTTTAGGACTTATAACATTCTACACACTATATTAAATAGTGGAGAAATAAAGACCAATAAACACAATTCCTGTTCTCAAAGAACTTCACAGCTTTATGGAAAAACATCAAAATAAGGTCTTCAAAAACTCAAAACAAAATGTTTAATCTTTAAAAATGGAATATGCCTTATATATCATGCTGGGTGGGGGAAAGGAGGTGAAAATTATAAAGAAAAAAAACCTGCTTAATCAAAGTAATTCTGTTATTTGGACAAATCATGATCAGATCTCTCGGTAGCAGTCTTGAAATACTGATACATTTCAAGATAGACCATCTTTTATTAACGCTACCATTTGAAAGGTCAAGATGTTCTTGTGATATCTCCTATGCAAAGATCTTATTGTACCCCAAAGAAGTTTCCAACTTTCTTCATTTCAAGTCACACTTCTAAGTCTTTTGATTTTCCACAGCATACCTGAGATGAAGACAAGCAAAGAGAGTGAGTTCCACAGCCATTGGTAAAAACTGGTGCTGAAGGATGAGGAATTATTTGTGGAGATGGTAGGAAGATTATACCTCAGAAGAGAGTACACGAAGATACAATAATTTAGTGAAATTAAAAGAGAATAACATTATTAGAAACAAACTTTAGCAAAATAACTTGGCTCTATGACAGGGCTTAAGTTAGAAGTCAAAGATTATGCCTAGGAAAGCCCCAAGTGATTGCGATACAGGAGGGCATGAAGACAGAAGCAAATAATGTCAGCTATAGTGATAGATCGGCTAGGAAATACTGGCCTAAAAACTATATTTAAATTCTAACTTTTAGATTAACATCCTTTAGCACTATCATCATTATGAAAAGTTAAAGTCTTCACCAACGATCACAGTATTTTGCACAAATTTACTGAGAGGTAAAAAAACTTCGTAATTTTAAAATACTAACCAATCTGGCCTACACCACCTAGTAATCACTTTTCCCCTCATCTTCACTACATAATAGAATGAGAAGACTCTCTCCCTCCCCCTTCTTTCCCCTCTCTCTCTCTCTCTCTTTCTCACAGACACACACACACACAGAAAATCTACTTTTAATTGAAGTGTGAACTCAAATCTTTTAAATTACATGTACATCAATATTAAGCAATAATAGGAACTTATTCCCCTCTTCCTTCAAATACCACTTTTCCTCAAAATATGCTTCTGTATAAGAGATCTCTCTGTTGGAACTGCCATATTGTTCCATACTGCTACTTGCAAATCTAACAATGAAGAAAATTATTACACTCATCCAGAAGAATGTCAAAAAAGAAAACCGATCATGATGGAAGTACAAAGTATAAGTCTGATTTGCAATCAATATAAAAATATTTGCAGGGTGCCTGAGTGACTCAGTCGGTTAAGCGTCCGACTCTTGATCTCAGCTCAGGTGTTCATCCCAGGGTCATAATAAGTTCAAGCCCTGCACTGGGCTCCATGTTAGGTGTGGAGCCTACTAAATAAATAAATAAATAAATAAACAAACAAACAAATAAATAAATATTGAAAACCACATTAAAGCAGACTTTGTTTATACAAATTATTATATTACATCCTTATATCCCTAAAATTTGATTATGCCCCCAAACTAACAAAAACTTGCCTGTGTAGTAGAAAATGGAAGGTAACTTACTTTGTCACATCACTATAATGACTTGCAAAATCATGTCATATGAGAATACAGTGATTTCCAAAATAAGAGTAATACTATAACATGATACACTGAAGTAAGGAGGGAAAAAGAGCAAAAATATCCAACTATAAAGGTCTACTCAAAAGTGAAATCTATGAAAAATACACATGGATGAATCTCTATCTTTTCAGACTGATCAGAATTACAGATAATTCAGTTTGTACTATGATTTATTTCCAAATCAGTAAAGGAAGACTTCTCTAAAGAGCTCCTTGGTTTAAAAAAAGAGGTGGGCTGGGAGCAGCAGCAGTTTTACCATAACTGCCTTACTAGTTTTTCCCATCTGTATTTAGAGGCAAAAAAAACCGAGTCTGCTCAACAGTTATAGTAACCCATAAGCACCTATTTCAAAACCTTTATAGGCACTAACTGGGCTACTAACTAGCACAGCATTCCTTTGTATTATGCATGACAAAGTCACACACACAAAAAAAGTTTTGTATTACTATTACTCTATGTCACCACAAAACAGGTTAAGGTTTTCAATAAAGATTCTTACTAATTGTCACCAAAATATTTTACATGGCAATTTAACCTCATGTCAATTGTGTAGAAATGGAAAAATAGGACAAAAGTCAATCATCATTAGGTCTGAAAATGGCAGTTCTGATTTCTTAGTACTCTGCCGCTTATGTTTCTCAAAACAGAACACTGACTGTGGAGGATAACTAATGAAAGTTATTATTTATTGAGCACAGTATCACATAATGTGATGAATCCTTGGCATATATGGTCTCATATAATCCTTAATAATCTTAAAGGTTATATAAGCTACCCAAGTGACTAGGGGTAGATTTGAACCTAGAGCCCAGATTCAAGGTAATGGGGAAGAGAGGTAAAGTGATTGCAGAGATCACAGAAATAACTCCCAATATAAAAAGGCATACTGCTTACTAATGGCACAGAGTTCCTCCCCATACTCTGGAATAGTGGTTTTCAACCCTGGCTACACATTAGAATCACCTGTGGAACTTTTTTTTTTTTTTTAAGATTTTATTTATTTATTCATGAGACAGAGAGAGAGGCAGAGACACAGGCAGAGGGAGAAGCAGGCTCCATGCAGGGAACCTGACGCAGGACTCGATCCCAGGTCTCCTCCAGGATCACATCCTGGGCTGAAGGCGGCACCAAACCACTGAGCCACCTGGGCTGCCCCTCACCGGTGGGACTTGCTTAAAAAAAAAAAAAAAAAAAAAAAAAAAAAACAAAATCCATTCTTGCCTGGGACTCTCACTCAGATACCCGGCATTCAGTTGGCCTGCCCTGGGGTTAAGGCACCGTTTTTTGTTCGTTTGTTTATTTTTTTTTTTCATCTCTCCAGGTAATCCTAAAGGGGCAGTAAGACTGAAAACCACTAATAATTCTTTCCTATCCTGCTAATCTCTCTAGTAGGCAAACAACTACAACCAAATGTACTCATCACCTACTTGGTTCTGAGTGCTTCATCTATTACATATCCTATTTACTCAACAAAGTGCTGTTTTTCTTTTCCTTTAAGCAGAGGAAACATTACAACTATAGCTGCACCTTTTTAAATAACAGAATTTCACAGGCTTTTCCTTTGACAAGCAGAATACAGGGGGCAAGGCAGGGATTAGCACCGCCTTCAGCCTGGAGTGTGACCCTGGAGTCCTGGGATCGAGTCCCACGTCCGGCTCCCTGCACGGAGCCTGCTTCTCCCTCTGCCTCTGTCTCTCTCATGAATGAATGAATAAAATCTTAAAGAAACAAGGTAAAAAGGTCCTAAGACTCACACTAAAAAAATTACATGGCAGGCGATAAAAGTTCTGTGATACAGGCTAGAGATTTACTATCCATGCTCTCTCTGAATTCTGCTGGAGATGACGCTGAAGACACTAAGTAACTGTTATTGTGGTGATAAATCCTACTGTCTTCCCGTGCAGCGTCTTCACCCTATAAGTCACCTGAATGTAAAGGGGGCAGGTGCTAAAGAAATCAAAGCATTACATAAGCATACCCAAACAACAACATGGCTGGTCGCACCACGTAGTGAGAGATCAGGGTTCTGCTGACAGCCTCCTATGGGAAGTCTTAACCATTTCCCTCCAAGTGCTGTTCAGGGCACATCCCACTCACCCTACACACCAGAAAGGTCATGAAAAATATTCCAGGCCGGCCCCAGGCTCGCTGTCCCTTTTTTTTTCTTTTTCTTTTTTTTTAATTTCACTAAACAGGTGACAGTCTGGAGAACACCTGACAAGCGTGGAAGCTTGGGCCTGGCGTCTTAACGAGAGACCCGAAGCGAACAATAATAAACACTCCACGTTGTCCAAAGCTCCGCACTTCTCGGAGAAACGTTACCGAACTTCCTGCTTCCGGACAGCTCAGGATTTGGTCCGAGTCTTCGCATTCCTTTTATTAGTCATGACCCTTCGGGGCGCAGCGAAGCGAAGCTCTCCCTCCCTATTTGTTGGAAAGATCTCGGGACTTTTAAACGCTGCAAATCGGACTTACGCGGGGGGGGGGGGGGGGGGGGGGGAGGGACACGACCCTTCTCCAAGGAAGAAACCCTATATATGCCAGAGCTCACCCCCAGAGGAGGCTTGGATTCCCCGAGAGCCCCTTTTATAGGAACCTGAGCTCAGTGGGTGCATCGCGCAGATTTCTTTCCAAAACAAAACAAAACAAAAAACCGGGTCGTTACACGCGTGCCGTCCTGCGTGGTCTCCGACGCTGGTTCATCCACACATTGTTGTCCTACCGATTACAGGAACCTGCGTTACTGCCGCGGAAATGGACCCTGCAAGGCTGGGGGGACCTGCGTGTGCGTGTGCGTGTGCGAGGCACGGGCACGACGACGGGGCACCGCTCACGACCAGCTGTCACGGGGGGGGGCGCCTCCCTCCCCCCTGCCCGGAGGGCCCACATCTGGCCACAGGGCCGTCCGTCAACCAGGGGCAAGGGGAGGAGGAAACGAGGGGGAGGCGCCGCGTCCATACGTGCGCTCCCACCGCAGGCTGAAGGGCAGAGCCCACCGGAGACCCTCCCTCCGGGGACCCGCCACAGCGCCCGGGCCTGCAGGGGAGGGATGGAGGGGCGGGCGGGGGGGGGGAGGGGAGGGGGGGATGGGGCAGCGCCTGTCCCCACGCCGGCGACCCAAACACACGAGCTTAAGGCAAGTTCTCACTTCCCGGCGGCCCGCTGCTCCCGGAGCCCCGACGCCGGGGGCGGCCCGGCCCCGCCGCTGCCCGTCCTCGCCCTCCCCTCCTCCGGGCCTTACACGGTGACGTGCCCGGAGCCGCGGACCACCACCGGGTCCGGCGAGTACTTGAGCAGCTGCTCCTCCAGGGCCCGCTCCTCGTCCTCCTCCTCCTCGTAGATCTCGTCGAAATCCGCCATCCTGGGCCTCCCGGGCCCCCCCGCCCCGGCCCGCAGGGGCCCGACTCCAGGGGCCGGGCCGGGCTCCGGCTGGCGAGGCGGCGGGCGCTGCGGGGAGTCGCGGCCGCGGGCTCCGAGGCCGCGGAGACCGCCCTCGGCCGCCGGGCTCCGGCTACAGGGCAGCTGCCGCCCCGGCCGCCGCCGCCGCCGCCGCCGCCATTACCGTCAGCAGCAACAACAACACGATGTCAACATCCGCCCGCGGGCCGACACCTCCGGCAGGACCGCCGCCGCCGCCGCCGCCGCTCCGGCAACCACAGCAACAGCCAGAGCCGCCCGCAGCGGGAGCCGCCGGCTAGGGCATCGCGAGACTTCCCGGGAGTGCGCGCGCACGCGCGGGGGGCGGGGAGGCCGGGGCGGGCGCGCGGAGGGGCGGGCGCGCGCGGCCCGGCGGGCGGGCGCGCGCACGCGAGGCCCCGCGCGCTCCCGAGGCGCCGCGCTTCCTCCGTCCGCGCCGCCGCCTGCCCGCCGCCGGGACCGCGGGGGAAGGGGGGGGGAGGAGGGGGGGGGGAAGGGGGGGCTCCGAGGCCCGGACGCGGGGACCCCCGACCCCGGGAACCGAGCTCCGAGTGTCCAGGGGAGCCCTCGCTCACCCAGAGTAACCTCCAGTCCAAACCCCTGGGAATTAGACCCCGGGCCGCGACAGAGAACGGAGAGCGTGGGTCTCTACCTCTGCAGCTAGCGGTGGCCCTCGCTTGTCGGCGGCTGCGGTCTTGGTGGGAACCGGAGGCTAGCCTTTCCCAGCCGACACGCCGCAAGCATCTTTGTGTCCACGGACACCCTGCAGGCATCTTTGTGTCCACGGACACCCTGCAAATACCTGTTTGTCCACGGACACCCTGCAAATACCTTTTTGTCCACGGACACGCTGCAAGCATCTTTGTGTCCACGGACACCCTGCAAATACCTTTTTGTCCACGGACACCCTGAAAGCATCTTTGTGTCCACGGACACCCTGCAAATACCTGTTTGTCCACGGACACCCTGCAAATACCTTTTTGTCCACGGACACCCTGCAAGCATCTTTGTGTCCACGGACACCCTGCAAATACCTGTTTGTCCACGGACACCCTGCAAATATCTTTTTGTCCACGGACACCCTGCAAATACCTGTTTGTTCACGGACACCCTGCAAATATCTTTTTGTCCACGGACACGCTGCAAGCATCTTTGTGTCCACGGACACCCTGCAAATACCTTTTTGTCCACGGACACCCTGCAAATACCTTTTGTCCACGTTAATCCGGGAATTTTCAAAGCATGTCCAAATGCAAACATTGCATCCTCCCATCCCCTTGGATATCGTCCAATATGTGAAGCCAATGATGCCTTTTTTTTTTTTTTACGAGAAAACTCATTGCAGTCATGCCGTGAAGCAAAATGGACAGACACATGGTCTAGATTCTAGATTAAAAGATGAGGTTTCCTGCCCCAACTCCCTCATCAACCATGGCCTGTTTTCTTAGGTTAGGACTTTAGAGAATCCGTTCCCCTTCCTTCCAGCTCCTCCAGCAAAGGGAAGAGTGGAGAAGGGAGCAAAGGGGAGGGGACAGGAGGGGAAGAAGGGATTCTGCTTACCTGCCTAGACCATTAATAAAGGCCTAACGGTCACCTGGGTACTTAGTTTCATAGTCAAGAAACCATCCAGACATCCAAAAAGTTCAGGGGCAGGAGTGACCTCCTGAAAGAGTCCTGGATAATGACTATATACCATGGAGACAGGACAGGATAGTCACACTGGATCCAGGGCTGGCCAGCCGGTTCTCCAAGTAGTGTTCACATTCTGACATCTCCCTTTAGATGGGTCATTGTTGACCTTGAGAAAAATGCAAAAGACTGACAATAAAGACAGCAAGGAATACCAAACATTTTCTTGCTGGAAATGGTTGAAGGAAATGAGTGTAGTTAGCCGAGAAAAGATAATGGGAAAACACAGTAGTTGTATCAGACTTGCTGTATAACTCCCCAGACAACATTTATTCATTTATTCATTCAACAAATGTTTACTGGGCTCTAACTACGTGTCAGGCACCGTGTGTGTGTGTGTGTGTGTGTGTGTGTGTGTGTGTGTGTGTGAATGAGCCACAGTCCCTCTATCTAGTAGCTTATTTATCACCAAGGTAGGCAATTATAATTTGGTCAAGTGCTCCCAGAGGCGTTTACAGAGGGTGCTCATGAAGCATCCAGAAGGCAGCTTCGCTTGGTGGTTAGCAATGGGTTCTGAAGCCTAACCGCTTGCCTTTGAATCTCAGTTCTGCCACTTACTTTGTGACCCTGAACAGGTCACTTAACCTCTCTGTTCCTCGTGTGTAAAATGAGGATTAAAGTACCGACCCCCACGGGTCTGCTCTGCAGATAAATGTGTATGAAACGCTTAGAAGAGGGTCTGGTGGGTCACCTGGGTGGCTCAGTGGTTGAGCATCTGCCTTTGACTCAGGTCGTGATCCCAGGGTCCTGGGATCGAGTCTCGCATCAGGTTCCCCGCGGGGAGCCTGCTTCTCCCTCTGCCTGTGTCTCTGCCCCTCTCTGTGTCTCATGAATGAATGAATGAATGAATGAATGAATGAATGAATCTAAAAGAAGAAGAAGAGGGCCTGGTGAATAGAAAATGCAGGGCAGCAATAAGGGCTGTCTAAGGCCCCATCCCACTAATCAGCTCTATGAGGATGAGCACAGTTGTTTGCACTACATAGGGCTTTACAGTTTATAAAGCTCATACATAGCATATCATTTCCTATTCCCCAAGAACCCAATGAGGTAACCCAGGAGGATGTAATTTCTTCCTTCATTTCAGAGATGCTTTGTGACTTTCTCATGGCCAAATGGCCCTTTACTAGACAGACTCAGGACTTCAACTTCAGGGCACTGGGTAGGCCAAGCTCCTGAATTTCCTTCTTGGCAGGAACCAAGAGGCCAGCGGCTGCACTCTGTTGTTGAAGGAGTGACTGCAAATGGGAGGGTGAGAAAAGGGAACTAGAGGAAGGAAGGTCAGTATGTTCCAGGCCCGGCCCACAGCCAGCATGCTGTAACTGAGAATTCACCTTTCTGTGGAAATGGTGGCCAAGATAAGGGGCTGGTGCCCCCAAAGTATCTAAGTCATCACCCAGCTGACAGCTTCCCAAGGGCAGAGGAAGTCACCCACAGCTCCCTCCCTCTCAGCAGTTTCCCAAGTTCTGGCTTCAGAAAAGGAGCCCAATCAATGTTCTCTGAGTTGAGGCATAACAACTAGTAACTAGTTGTTACTAGTCCTAGCTCCAGAACATCATGAGTTAATTAGGCTTCTGAGGATTGTGAGAATGTCACCCTTTATCTTAACACTGGTTCTGTGTGGGAGAAAATGTTCTTATTCTGAGATCTATTCAACAGGGAGGTCTTTGTATGGCCCGCTGCCTCTGTATAAGGTGGGGGCTGTCTTAATTTTGTTCTTCCTATTTTGCTCTTCTTTTTCCTGCTCTGAAAAACCTGTCAGAGGCAGCAAAAGGGTGTGGGACCTGGGAACGAGGTGGAGAGGATGAGAGAAGATGAGTCGAATATTTCTCTGATGATGGTTGACATCATAATCTCAGACTCCACCCCCAACCCTCCAGGGCCCAGCTTCCTGTCAAACTCCTGCCCCAGCCTCTTCCTGGGGACAAACCCCCCTTTCTCTCAGTGTCCAAGGTGTTATTCTGCTCTCTACTATTTAGACGTCTCTCCATATGTGCTCCTCTTTACATTCCTGCTTCACGCACTTTCACATTTACCTTCAGACTAAATGTCTCAAAACCAAACAGGATAATGCCTCAGGAGCCTCCGAAGGCCGCAGATCTTCAGTTGCTTTCAAGGCAGATATTCCTAGATTCGAAAACTTCCAAGTTCTGTCACTACCTAGCCAAGTGGCCTTGGGTAGATTCAACTTTCTAAGCCTCCTTTTCTTCATCCTGAGATGGAATCTATGTTGTGAAGTTATCAAAGATCAAATGAGGTAATGCTATGGACTGAATTGTGTCCCCCCAAAAATTTATGTGTGGAAGGACCATGGTGATGGTAGTTTTGAGAGGCAGGGCCTTTGGAGGTAATTAGGTTTGGATGAGGTCATG